AAACGCGACCCACTGAGAAGATCCGGCGAGAAACTCAGTGGGCTGTGTCTGAGAGTTCTACGTTATAAATGAGGCAGCCATTTTTTATATAAACCTAGGATTATCTATCTCTTTCTAGCAGACAGAGTCAATTGCGTACTGCTTAAGTATATTAAACGATATTTATAATCTCTAAAATATAATATTGTATAATATTTTCTATTATATAATCTGTACGGGCTATCATGGAAAAAATATATTTGACAGATGCTGAATCTTTGACTACATTTTCAAGGTAAGTTTAAGCAATTTCACAATATAGAAGTTCAGAAATATACAATTTCTGAACTCGGACTGTCGATCTTCCGAGGAAGGAAATATATCAAGGTGGGTGGCGCATTTACGTTGTAGATGTCTATGGGCTCCAGTAACCACTTAACACCAGGTGGCCTGTGAGCTCGTCAATCCATCTAAGCAACAATAAAAAATAAAAAAAGAATTTCACCCGCTCGATGGAAGATAGATCTACCCTTTGTCGTTTCCCCCAAAATTCTGTCATGTCTATTGGGTTTCCAAGAATCACAGTTGCATCTAGACATTATTTGTTTTGCTATCTTATAAAGTATAAGACAACATATAACATTTATTTGTAACTATAAAGATCGCATAAAACTATTAAGTAAGCCAACTTTCAGTATCTTGCACAATTTGGTAATAGAAATTCCACGATTTACGCAAACTCTAATAAAAACTTATTTTGTTACAGTCTAATATTATTAATGTTGTATGGGTATTAAATTACTTTGTTAAATACCCTACAATCCTCGTGGGACGTGTAAATGGCTCTACCATGGGAGCTAAATGTGTATTTTAATAAATAATACGCGAAGCGCTGACGAATTGATAAGGAATAAATCGAATTTTGGAAGGCGCGATAAAATATGGAAACAGAGCTCAAATCCAAAGTATAACATCCCACTCACTGACTCACTTGAGGTCTCCAAATATTCCTACTCTAAGCAAAGTTTTGTAGGGGAACTTTAGAATATTATTTATTTTATATTTTTACAGGGGGGATTTCACCGACGTTACTTTTAATTTTTCAATTTATGGTTGTGTTTGATAACAATATAAAAACGCGATGATTATAGCGATGTAAATATAAAATAAAGAAGTTGACAGCATATAAATGCATAAGGATTCATGGAGGTTTTATTAAATCCCACGAAGGAGGCGGCACAAGCGTACAGACTCTAAATTTAAGGAATGAGTATTACTGTATTCAAAAAGTACTGAGCGAAAAAAGCACGCATTATAATTTGCGTAATTACTGGTGGTAGGACCTCATGTGAGTCTGCACGGGTAGGTACCACCACCGCGCCTATTTCTGTCGTGAAGCAGTAATGCGTTTCGGCTTGAAGGGTGGGGCAGCCGTTGTAACTATACTGAGACCTTAGAACTTATATCTCAAGGTGGGTGGCGCATTTACGTTGTAGATGTCTATGGGCTCCAGTAACCACTTAACAGCAGGTGGGCTGTGAGCACGTCCACCCATCTAAGCGATAAAAAACAACAAATAATAATATTATGTCTCATCTATTGACGATCTGTGTATTTTTCAACCGATTTCATCATCATTTGGCCGATATGTGGATCCACGCTCCTCCTCCTCCTTAGGTTCTTGGTCATTGTCTGTCACAGTTTTAAATGTTTTAGGTAAGCTCTTTTTTTATAATAAAAAAAGAATTGTGTACTTCTCGAATGAATCAACCATTCTATAGATTTTAATCGAAATCTTACATCTTTTTCTTTAGGAAAAATGAATTAGCTATATGGTTTTTTTTACATTTTTTATTGCATCGATGGGTGAGCGAGCTCACAACCTACCTGATTTGTGTTTACCGGAGCCCATAGACATCTATAACGTAAGTTTCCACACTCACCTTGAGATATGAGTTGTAAGGTCTCAGTTATATTATAAATACACTATACCCGTAAAATAAAACATACTGAATAAGAAATAAAACATACTAAATAAGAAATAAACCATACTAAATAAGAGCTTCAAATATCTAATTCCTTGAGAAATTAAACAACAGTACCTACGTACAGCTATAATCAAAACGTAATAACAAGAGATTGTTTTGATTATAATTTCCTTAACAATTTAATTTTGTAAGATACTATCAAAACAATTTACCACATAATTTCAGTAGCACAGTTTCGCAGACAAATGTGTTCATACATTATTACAAATTATTACGTTTAGTCTACATGAAGCCGTATAGTAACCCCATTATGGTGACTACACGTGTTTGAAATATACACGTGTTGAGTCCTTTATCGCTCCGAAGAGTTACGGAGCACGAGAACACAACGCAAGAGCACGTGTATTGAGAAAATAATTTATTTTAAATAGACAAATTTGTGCTTTTTTTTGCGATCTATGTGTACGACACAGGTTTATAAATCACATAAGCTCAGCTATATTATATAATATGAGTAGAGTGAATTTATGCCTCGTTTTCAATAAATAAGAAATACGAGTTTTCCTCTAATCTTTTATGTTCTGGACACTTATCAATGTTTTATGGCTTCATAGATTGTGTAATGCGAGCAAGAAAAAAAACTTTCATATAGTCTTGTGACAAATTGTTTTATTGGGGGTGTAGTTAAATAATGATTTTATTATTTATCTTTTGAAAAGCAGCAGATTCTGGGACCGAGAAAACTACTCCCCTGCACTCATTCCAGAATGGGAGTAGAGCTTCCAAATGACCGTTTGTTTTTTTTTTTTTTTTTTTTTCCTACCTAAGCTGATAGCCCTAGCGGCTATGTCAGCGTAACCCTAACTTTAGTAGGTGAGCTCACGGGGCTCAAACCTGACGATGTTGCTAACACGAACCCTAGCAAGAGCCGTGCTTCGCAGAATCTACCACCGGATCGGAAACGCGACCCACTGAGAAGATCCGGCGAGAAACTCAGTGGGCTGTGTCTGAGAGTTAATTTACTCGTCGAGCCCTTCGTCGCAAGCGACGGGTTCGACGAGAACGGTGACCGGTGCTTGAAGTACCTAAAAGCACCGTTAGTGGATCGGGAGGATCCGAGATGACGCGTTTTGGGCGACGTCGACTGCTTTCCATTCTGTCCGCAGGATCGGGAATGTGACCGTTTGAATGATGGAGTCGTGTCAGCGTAAACAACAACTGGTCGGAGACGCACAACCAGGCCGCCTAGGCGATGTCGTTGGTATTACGGGATACTCTCTGTGCTTAGTGCGAGTTTTTTAACGCTCTCGAGTTTTTAACGTTCTCGATAGCGTAAAAGTTAACTCAAATTTGTATGCAGTTGGAACAGCGCCCCTAGCGGCAAACGTAGCCAAGCGTTCCAACTCCATACAAATTTGAGTTAACTTTTACGTTATCGAGAATGTTAAAAAACTCGAACTAAGCACACTGTTGGGCTATAACCCGCCCGCTGGGTCGGAGCGGGAGACCACCAACCCATCGCTCTTAGTTATCAAATCTATTCAGATTTACGCCTTGCGGGGACTCCCCCCCGGCGGCTTCGACCTCTTATCCCAAATCATCAAATCCTGAAGTTAAGCAACGCTAAACTTTTATTCAAATGAAAACCGTTATTTTGTTATCTAACCTATTTTTTAACGGGTTGTATATTTTTAATATAGCCTAGCCGACCTTTGTTTTGATTTTTGCCGTCGGTTATTCTCGTACGTAATAGAAAGTAAATTTCTATTCTATATCTATCTATATTCGATCTATAAACTGAATTTCCATCAATTACCGCCGTGTATTGTCATGCTAAAAATTTCAGTGTTGATTTAAATTTCAGTAAAGAAAAGAAAACGATATTTTAAGTTAACTGTATGTCAGTAGTACAAAAACACCTTTTAAGAAATTAGATAGGTAAGTGAAATACAAAATGATTTGAATTAAATTAAATACATTATTTAGCATCGTAAATGCACCTCCTACTACTTTTTTTAACTAAACTATACATATCGCACCTTTAGAATTATAGAGACCCATTTCAAAATTTTGGATTTTGTCTGTAATTCAAACAATGGACCTAGCACGACCCTTTTCAGCGACTCTTAGTAATCAAATGACCAGAAGTAGCTTATACAGGGACAAAGCTATCCATCGGTCTCTTTCACTCCGTCCCCTTCCTCTACCTTTTTTCGGTTTGAGAACTTTAATCGATGTTTTCCAAAAAACACATTTTTTGAGTTGGGACTTTTTAGAATGCGATATGTCCCATTTAATCGAAAAACATATTTACATTTACCACTTAACTAGGGAACTCGATAAACGCACTAGTATACATCCATTAAATTTTTTTAGTAAGCCTGTAGTACTCTTACTGATTTTGAAATAAAATTGTATAGGTTTGTGACTAACTTTCTACAACACTTACAGAGTGATCGAGGTTTTTTTTGAAGTACCAGAAAGCACATTCAATCTATGAATAAATTAATGTTTTTTGTTGTTAGTTAGTATATCTGCGTTATTTTTTAAAATATTATGTTGCAATGAATCAACATTTTTAAGCAACAATTTCGCTAGTGATTTATTTTTAAAAAAAATGGTGCGTGTGCAGCTTGGTGCACGTGAAAGAAGTGAAACTTCTTTTGCCGAGTGGTTGGCGAGATGTTCTGTCTATTTTCTCACTCTCGCTCGTCCTAAATGGTATTTTTTCTCTCTAGCCGTAACGAATCTGTCGCGAGATAAATTTTCCTCTCGACGCACTTAAACAAGTTTCACTTCAAAAAGTGTTTAATAGATTGCTATGTTCATTACTACAGGTTTTACGTAACAAATATATTGTGAAAAAATGTTCTTTTGTTTATTTGATTAACAAGCTCTACTTTGATTATGAATTAAGTTAGAAAATAAATACAATAAACATGTAAATAATAGGTAAATACTAAAGTTACCTTTTAAATAATTGAAATACTGAATTATCTAACGATGCATGCACTTAAAATAAAATGTACTCACGTCTTACTCTCACAGTTGGTCTTTTGAATGCAGTTCGGAGGTAAGGCATTGCCATGACGAGCTCGATATGAGGAGGTGGCGGCAACTGAAATGATAGAACAACATACATAGATTTAAAAACCGTAATCGGTGATTTTGGAATACAAGGAAAGGAGGGTGTGTATTATTATATTGTAAAATTTACATAAGAACAATAACAATTAGCAGACGATGCCATCAATTCTGAATTAATTGAAGAGCTGCTTTTTATCGCGTGGAATTAAAGCAATGGCCAAATCTCAGCCAATAACGTAGCCACTGAGGACTCTTATTGAGTGTCTTTAGATGACTTAGTTTAGCGCTAAGAATAGACTAAAAGGAGAACTTCATTTCAGAGCTGGTATACATCAAAACTTTTCTCTGAAACGTGATCAATTTTGCGCTGTTGTTGCGCGCAATAGTTCTTGTGAAATATGATACTGCAAAGGTCTTGTTCATTGGATCAGTGGTGGCATCGGGAACTCCTTTCAATCACGAAGCCGGACACCAGTATATATTAGACCCGTATGTTTTCAGGAAAAGTTATCTTTGTCACAATACACACACACATATATACAATGTTGGGAAGAAGACGAGATACTTTTCTTTAAACAAACTAGTTCATGTTTTTCTATAATACGATTCGATTTGAAAAATCAAGAAAGCAAGATTACTTACGGTTTTCGATATCGCCGTCACCCAGTCCCTTGTGAAGCAAGAACAATGGCGACAATTTTACAAAACAAGATTTAGCTGGTCCGAAATTACAAAATTATTTCGCATTGGAGGATATTCTCGTTGTTTTTTCAGCTGTACTTAGGCTACCAAAATACGGTCCACGAAGTGACCCTTGCTTTGAGACACGATTTTTAAGTCTTAATTGAATTAAACCATTCCGGTCCTTCATCTAAAATTGGAAGATCTGATTGTTTTGGAACATTAATGCGCGAGTCGGGGACTTCAACTACTTCGGAGTTTTCAATTTCAGCAGAAGATCCAGCACTCTGTCTTTTACGTTATCTTCTTTTTTGACTTCACGACAGAAAATGTGCTCGAACTTTTACCGACAAATGGGTTAGTAATTACTCATCAATACGTGTGCTAAAACTTTCAAACACGATGTATCTTACACTGTAAACCAGCTTTTTTAATTACATATTTTGCTATTTGTCTATATGTTTGCTTGTGCACCTCTTTAGAACTTACTAAACCGAGTTTCATGTATCTTTCCTTAGGTAGACAGGGATTCATTGATGATCGTGATGAAGTAGAATGTTTTGCTGTTTCATTATAATATCGTACATTGCATACAAAAGTGATCATCATTTTAGATGTAAGATGTAAGAAGCTATTTAGCGATTTTTTTTAAATACGAAATTAGTTCTATATCTTACATTATCGATACCCTAAAAACCTCTTTTTTTTATAATGGCGAGTGAAAGTTGTAATAAGGTATTAAATTTTTTTGATATTATTATTAGTAGTATTGATTTCATTGTATAAGTAATGCAAAATGTATTTAAAAAAAACATTCATCGTAATTTCGCTTTTTTAAATTTATAATTCCCAACCAGAGGGCAGATGAATCACCATAATGTTACGGAAACTCAGTTTTGCAACAAACAAAGCGAAATGCATGCTAGCTTCGCGGTCCCATTGACAAAGACCGTTGAGACTCAATAATGCGAGTCATAAATAATTTGTATTATTTAATCTCAATTTGCTAATGACTTCTCCTTCTTCATTTTAGTAATGTGACACTTTAAAGACCCAAAGACTACGATGACACCCAATGCTATCATATTAAGCGATGCAACTAAGCCGGTATTCAAATATTTTATAATTAATCCGCCAAATTACTAGTGTTAGGGACTGTACCTACTGGTAGTAAAAAGTGAGTCCTTGTACGGTGGTCGCGAAGTTGTCACGCGTTCCGATTTGAGTGGTCGGACAGCCGTTATACAAAACAATTGAAATTTGTCCCATGTCTCAAGGTGGGTCACGTCATTCACGTTATGATTGGCGTTTAAAATCTTCAGGGAACTTTTAGCAGCAGGTATCAGGTGCATCCGTGTAAGTAATAAAAATACTCCAGGTGAAAAATTGCGTATGTGTGTGACTTGTACGCCGTCATGTTTTCTTATGGGAGCCACACTTTATTTTTCTTTGTCGATATGCGGCGCTCCAACGTTTATTTCAAAATCACTTTTACAAAGAGGCAAATTGTGGCCAATCGCATTCAATTACGTACAGTTTATTTTATTTTATTTATTCAATGAAATTAATATTCCCTCTTTGCTCGTTAACGAATTAAGGCGTGACCGATTACATTAATTAAAGTAATGATTCTTTATTGAACACGTTATGGTTGCGAGCGATGAAGGGTTCATGAGGAATCGATATCTTGTATGGCTTGGTTCGACCGTCTCTAGGGATCGGCTAGAGATGTAATTAGTTTGATGAGAAAATCTAATATCTGGATTTGAATTTAGAATTCACGAATTAAACGAAATTTAATTTGAATTGTAATTTAAAACACATCGTAAACTTTGAATATGTTATAGGTAATGTATGTTCAATGTATGTAGAAATAAGAGGTGATCCTATTGATATCCGAATCGTTTTATACTCTCTACTATACGTCCTTCTAACAGGGCTTACAAATAGATATTTCTTTGTATTGACACCGGAATCACTCTGGAAATTTTTAAATTATGTCTCCAAAACAGTTTTCAAATTCTGCATCCAGTATTAAAAATATAAAGCCTCGTACGAACTTTGCGTTCCAGGGTACGCGTACCTTGGTTACGCGTAGCTTGGTTACGCGTAGCTTGGTTATGCGTGACCTGGAACGCTCAATCCGGACGTGTTGCTACGCGTATACATTCGCTGTCCGCGTACCCCGGGAACCAGGCTCGCGGCGATCCATTTACATATTTCGAATTATTTCGCCTTTTGTATCAAATGCAAATAATTTGTATGAAATTAATGGTTAGTTCTTAGAATAGACCAATACCGTAATAGTATTTCGTGCGAGCACGTAAGTCAGCACCCGTTTGTAAATACATGTTAACTCACTGAGTTTCTCACTGGAGTTTCCCAGTGGGTCGCGATTCCGATCCGGTGATAGATTCTGCGAAGTACTGCTCTTGCTGGGGCTAGTTTTAGCAAAATCTCTCAACTTGAGCCCCGTAAGCTTATCTAAAAACTTATATACCTTGTATGTGAATGACCGACGCCTTAAGCCAGCGGTCGGGGAACCGGGGTAAATTACCCCAAATGGGGTAAAAAAAATTTTGGCGGGTAAAAATGAAACTTTTGTGAGTAAAAAGCTATATATATTTCAGCTCGAAAGGTACAAATACCTTTATTGTACGTATAGTAAACCGTAATTTCAACTTTATATCTCAAAGTGGGGTTGTGCTTAGCACTAATCGGGCAGAGAACTCGAATCATTATTCAGATTTAAAAAAAAATGTTTTTTGTCATAAACAATTTTATCATTTCTTTATATTATAGAAGTCGCCGTGGCCTAAAGGATAAGACGTCCGGTGCATTTGTATCTAGCGATGCACCTGTGTTCGAATCCCGTGGGCGGGTACCAATTTTACTGACGTACTACGTAGTTCACAAATGTTCACGGTTGACTTCCACGGTGAAGGAATAACATCGTGTAATAAAAATCAAACCCGCAAAATAATAATTTGCGCAATTACTGGTGGTAGGACCTCTTGTGAGTCCGCACGGGTAGGTACCACCACTCTTATTTCTGCCGTGAAGCAGTAATGCGTTTCGGTAAACATTTACCACCAGGTTGGCTGTGAGTTGGTTCACTCCTCTATGCAGTAAATAAAAAATACAAAGAAACATAAAAACAGTTTTCTAGGTAACAGTTTTTAGCACATGTAATATTTTCCGAATAATATTTTTGGAAAAATTCTACGTACCAATGAAAGTCGCATTGGAATCGGATAAGAAATCCATTTTTTTTTCTAATCTAAAAAGACTTGATTTTGTTTTTAGATTGAATATCGTCTCATTTAATTCATCGTGTCGACTTTAGTTTTCGGACGATCACAGGGTTCATTTTTTAGATCAAAGTGTCCATCTTGGAAGCGCTCAAACGAATAACAAATCGTGCGTCCGTTTGTAGTGTTCACTCCGCACATTATATTAATATTGTGAGCTGTGTGTGCGGCATTGTAACCGCGACGGAACTCTTATTCCAGAATAATCCAGAATTTTCGTATTTTTATCGTGTCCATATTGATGAAAAAGATACAAATGTATAGCAAATGCTTCCCAATAAACAAATGTCTGAATTTGAAAATAGAATTCCATATTTTTTTAAATAAAATTTATTTTATTATTTTTTTTTAAATTTATTTATTAGCCGGATACAAAGTCCATTGGCACAAATTTATTTTAATTTTGAATTTATTGCCAGCCATAAATAAATTACGTTTCAAATGGCCATTATTTATAAACGGCAACTTCATAGGTAATATTATTATTTCGTCTTTCATTATTGTGATATTTATCATATTACTTTGATTTAAGACTTAGTCTTCACGTAAAAAATGAAAAATGTTTTAAAAGCATTGTATTGGTATGCATAGCATAATATGGGAAAGTACATAGTTAAAAAAACAACGTGATAAAAATCGAAAAGGACTCCAAGAGTAACAGCAGAAGGAATGATCTTTGAGTTAACATTGCTCTCACAAACTATAGTTATTATAATATTTTTGAGGTAAACATTATTTTGATGGTTCTTATCGGTGAAGTTGGTTGTCCTCAATACTTGCTACTTCGACTTGATATCTGGGTTTTTTTTTATAATTCCACATTCAAATTTATTTCAGACTCGAAGAATTCTAGATTCATTTAAGTTTCCGTAGCACCTGAAATATTTCCACGAATACCGAAGAATCAGTTCAAAAGATCTACGATTTTTTCGGGTTAGTTACTGCCAACAAGCATTTATGGTTCCATCGTTTTCGTTCTGGAAAAATCGGCAAAAGACCAAGCATCACGAATCATCAAGTTTCCCACTTGAATCGATAGCGAAATTTGAAAAAAATAAGGCCTATAGTATTGAAATTTTGTACAGGGTTCTAATAATTATAAACCAAAATGAAATAAAGAAACAGAAAAAAACACCACAAAGAAACGATCGAACAAAAGTATCAAAAAATAATTATTTCTACAAAAAATTCAACGTTCCAACATCTTTTTGTTTTAAAAAGCAAACTACATATTCAAATGTGAAAATTTCCATAGCGGAAATAGTAAAGCCTACATTTGCGGCGATAAAAAGCCGCCATATTACGGAGGGAGTAATAAGTTTCCATGACGACACTCCAGACATCTGCGGCCGCCGTGATGAATTGCCCCACTTCCCTACCCTAAGCCAGGCTTGGAGTCAGCTATTTTTAATCGAGCTCGAACGTATTCTTTTCATGGTTTTTGGAAGCTTGGAAGTATGTACTACGCTTATATTATATGACTACATAGTATAAAACAAAGTCGCTTTCTCTGTCCCTATATCTGTCTGTCCCTATGTATGCTTAAATCTTTAAAACTGTGCAACGGATTTTGATGCGGTTTTTTTTAATAGATAGAGTGATTAAAGAGGAAGGTTTATATGTATAATAACATCCATTAAATAGTGGAGATATCAATAATACATTACAGTTTCCGAAGCGAAGCGAGGGCGGGTTGCTAGTTATATACTTATATAAAAGAGAGAGAGAGAGTGAAAATCAATGTGGCGGGATCAACCTTCATTACTGTTATACATAAAATGTGGCCGTGTGTGATTTTAGACGAATAGTACGAATGGACCTTATGATTGTCTCTGTCAATGTAACCTGTGATGTACCCTTTCACACTTAAATAAAAAAAAGAAGAGACCTCTTTGCGTATTTATGTTAAGGGAACTGAAGTATTGAGAATATATATATTTTTGTTGTGTGTTCTGAACTATAAAAATCCATGATCTCTGGCCCACCTATAACCATGTTTGAATTCTTGGAGAATTTTATAAATTTCAATTCTAATTCTGGATCTGCGATACTCTTTCAAGGATACGTCTCGTGTTCCAACACTTTCATCTCCTTTCACCCAATTATTGTAAATAATGAGATAAGATCGGGTGTCTCTGTGGCTAGTTCCACGGGGGTGTTGTGGCCAGTATTGAACAGCTACATAAGCTATTATATATGTCGATATATAACGAGGTCGTTCAAAGGTTTGGCTATAAATTATATCACTTAACTTTAAATACATTGCGATGTATTTCGTTTCTTTACCAATCTATTCAAAGAACATCAAAAATGTCTAAAATAAAATTATTTATGAGCCAAAGAGCAATTGTTCGAATTAAATTAATANTTGTGGCCAGTATTGAACAGCTACATAAGCTATTATATATGTCGATATATAACGAGGTCGTTCAAAGGTTTGGCTATAAATTATATCACTTAACTTTAAATACATTGCGATGTATTTCGTTTCTTTACCAATCTATTCAAAGAACATCAAAAATGTCTAAAATAAAATTATTTATGAGCCAAAGAGCAATTGTTCGAATTAAATTAATATTGTTGAATTATAATTTTTTTGTTTGAACAGTCGGTTTGAGCATCCTTAGTCATGTGTGTGACGTAGGGTATTGCTGGATTCGGTGAAAAAATATATAGATATGTATATGTGCTAGTTATGATACGCGCTCTTTATTTAAATCCACCTCAAAATAAATTCGAGAGAAAACATCAACGGATTAAAATTATTAAGATAGGTACATACACGCCTAATATTTACACACGTTGCGGTATCATATAAAATGAGACAGTTAAATATAAGTATAAATTACGAATGACGACTTGGTATTTATCCATTTTGTTAAAGACTCTGGAACGATGAAGGTGGCAGCGGCTCTTTTTACCATTTTGGTAAGATTTTTGCTACTAATCGTACTAAGTGATTTATGATTATTTATTTTTTTATATTTTTTATAAATTACTAAATCATTAAAAGTTAAATCACACCTTTACGTTATTTTTAAAATCACATATTATTGTGTTTTATAGTGAATTTGTTGTTATTTTAGCAAATTGTTAATGCGGTTCCCACGATAGCAGAGCACGGTGAGTTAAATTTAAATATACGAATTTTATTTTACTTAATCCACACACATTAAAATATGTGAAAAAAAGTGTAAATACAGATATTACAATGCAACATTTAAGTGATTTTTTTAAATTAAACCAAAAATATTGTTCATTCAAAAGTAGCATTTATTCATTAAAAGAAAAAATTAAATTAAAATATAAAGAACTATGCAGAATTTCTTGACACCAATTTCAAACGATATGTATAAATTTTTTTTTCACCATTTTAGTTACCTGATTTCAATTAATGTTTTAGTTAAAGTCTTAGACAAAATCTCAGGAAAAGGAACAAATTTTCATATTTCGTATCGAATTATTTATTATTTAACTATCGAAAATTATTGTATATTTTCGTTGTTATCTGTTATAAAATGACAAATACTTTTATTTAATTATTGGTAAAATCGTGGTACAGTCAAAATGCTATTAGTCAATTATAAAAAAAAAACTTCAAAAAGCTAATCCAAGCTTAGGCTTTTGATGTTCTGGTGTCTCAAAGATCAAAGTCTTTATGTTTGTTTTTGTCTTAATTTTAAATTAATTAGCTTAAGCTGCGGTTATTTCGAATACAGATACTGCTCCCGCTAGCGACGCGCAGACTGGGGACGATCTTCATCAAGAAATTGCAGAAGCTGTTCTTGGTGCTTCTCAAGAACATGATAGCGCTAAACAAACCGACACAAATGTAAAAACCGTAAAGTTAGGTGGACCAATTTTGGATGATCTAATTTATCAGGTTTCTGCAGCAACGGGAAACCAAGAGAAAAGAGTTTCAAAACACCTCGATTCATTTCATGATACATTAGAAAAGGTGACTGATTTATCATCTGTGGGGAATGTAATTAAACAGTTTGGAAATACTGTTAAAGAAGATATTTCTAAATCGAAAGGAATACTTTTAGACAAAGCGAAAGCTATCGAAAAAGGTGTCTCGGTAGCCAAAGATCTTCTACGAGATAAAACCGAAGAAGTCGTTAAAGGCATTTCTGAGGCAAAATATCTTTTAAGTAAGAAAGGTGAAGAAACCTTAAAACATATTATTAATTTAGGGACTGGTATTAAGGGAAAAATTCAAGATATTCTAAAAAATATTGCTACATCACATGAGGTTGCAAAAGAAAAATTCAATGTTATAGTGAAAAACTTTACCGATGCTCTATGCAATATTAAATTACCACAAATAGATTTTTCTACAACATTAGCATTAGCAGCTGAAGCAGTCACAGTGGGTATTTCATTTATTGCTTTTCTGGGATCAGTGATAGAGAAAGAAATTCTGTCAAAGACACACAATGATGGCTCGTTAAAAAATCATCTTGAATCTGTTCTTGATTCTATTTCAAAAGGTACCTTAAAATTTGGTGGCAGCGATGATAATAATTCCGAAAAATCAGAAACATCACAAGTCGATGTACAGAGCATTGATGTAGGAAAATCTAATACAGTAAATAGAGATGAAGAAAAAGCTAATTCTGGCGACGACGTCGAAGATAATGACGATGATGACACATCTGCAAGTTATGAAGATGGTTCTGAAGAAGTGAAAACCATTACAGTTGAATCATCAAAATCGGCTCCTGTTCAAACAAATCAGGCAAACACTGAACAAAAAAGTTATGAAGCAATACATCCTTTGCAACAACGAAACAGTGTAAAAGTATTTCAGACCGGATCGGAACATCCTCACGTGAATGTTGACCGAGAGGCCAAACATTACAGAAATTATAAAAACATTGGTTCGCAGTTCCTATCCAATGAGCCTTTTGCTTATGCTCATAGTGGAAGTAACGTAAAAGCTGGAGGTTATGGTGGTAGTGGATTTGTAGGGCACGGTCCTTTAACTCCTGTTCAATTGAATTCGGGTGATAATTCAGGAATAATACATACCAAGCCAGAAACAGGTGTTCATGCGTTTGCTTATGCATAATCCACAAACACAGGTTCAGTAGAATGAAAATGGTAAACAGTAAGTTAAATTTAACACTAAAATATATTTCGAAAAATCAAATCTGAATGAAATAAATATAGTTTTTGCCATTAATTGCTTGTAATTATTATTAACAACGAATTCATTTATTTATTTATAGCATGGGTAGATGAGCTCACAGCCCACCTGGTGTTAAGTGGTTACCGGAGTCCATAGACACCTACGACGTAAATGTCGCCACTCACCTCGAGCATAAGTTCTTAGGTCTCAGTTTTTACAGTACAACAGCTGCCCCGCCCTTCAAACCGAAAAGCATTACTGCTTCACAGCAGAAGTAGGTTCCTACCCGCGCGGGCTCACAAGATGTCCTACCACCAGTAATAGTTTGTCTCATTGTAGTGTGTCTAGTTTAGGTGTTCACCCAATGGAAGAAACAGAAGCATAACATTTCATGGTGGTCGCTGTCCAGTTCCCACACTAATTATTATAGGTAGTAAGACGTTTTGTGAACCCGCACTCATGGGATTAGCTTATATCTACATATACATATATTGGTTGTTTCCACCGCGAAACATCCATAGTTAAATCGTTTTTCGAAATAATAAAATTGCGACTCTAAGTTTAAAAGTAGCCTCTGTACTTCTTTTTACTGTGGTTTGGCGTGTATTGTTTACATCTATATGCTGAAGCTTATAATGCCTTATATGAATCAGCAATCAAGGCCCCCGAAAAAAGTGTTGCTTTACAAAAAAGAATCATATTAGAGCACGCCACAGTCGCATCATTCGATATAAAAGCACCGGGTTTGTTATCGTTTAGGCCATGACGGCTTCATTCCCATACGTGAATATCATTAGTTAATATTATAATATCCCTATGTGTTTTTTATCTTATCATATCGTTCTTGAGAATGAGAGGTTCTGTACGTCAAATTATGATGCTTTTACTAGATTAGACAAAAAAAAAAACAAAAAAACTTTGAAATAAAAGAAAAAAAAGTTATAAATAACAGAGCTATTAAGTGTGGGGCGACTCTAAGCACATCACGGTGAAAACAATAGGGATTGTTTTATTGATATTACCCTATTATGTAGAGGTAAGGACAGCCCTCTTAGAACGTACCTGCGTAATTCTTTCTTTAATAAAAGAGGTATAATCAAAAAGCCGTTTCGTATCTCGATTTATAAGCCAAAGAGAACGGTTCCTTTTGTTAAAGGTAAGTAAACAGGAAGTTGGTCACATCATGTCTTTGATGTCCGTGACTGATCGAACACCTCTACATATTTCATTCCAAAGCAATCGATTCGATTTTTTTTCCTACCTAAGCTTGCCTTGAGAGGCTATATCAGCGTAACTTTAACTAGTAGGTGAGCTCACGGGGCTCAAACCTGACGACGTTGCTAACACGAATCCTAGCAAGAGCCGTGCTTCGCTGAATCTACCACCGGATCGGAAACGCGACCCACTGAGAAGATCCGACGAGAAACTCAATGGGCTGTGTCTGAGGGTTAATTTACTCGTCGAGTCCTTCGTCGCAAGCGACGGGTTCGACGAGAACGATGACCGGATCGATTCGAAGTGGTCTGCAGCACATTCGTATGACCTTTGTAAGCACCTTTATCATCTTATTAATTGCTTAAATTCCGTGGTTCCCGCGACATTGTCTTCATTAAAACTGTTTTACTTAAACGACTACAAATTCTTCATCACTTGCCAACATAGCATTCAGTCCTATCCACAGTTCCTCTTATTCCTTAACCCTTATTGTAAATAAATAAAATTATGACAGTACATTAATGGAGGTCAAATGATTCTAAGTAATAATGATTTCTTTGGCTATTCAGGGTATATAAGTGTGCGAGAATTTAAAAAAATATTATTTTAGAAAATGAATCAAACCATTTGGGCTATATGAAATTTTTAGTAAGTAATAGTTCGAAAACTCTGGGCTGCCTATAATTATTTTTGATAAAAGTGAAGACTGAACAGACGAAATACATATATCTCGTTTAAATGATTTTTTACGATGCTAGAAAGTAATACAGGTTAGGGGCATCGAGCTTAGAAAAATTTTTTACCGCCCATAATTTTTTTTGTTTTGTGATTGAAGACTAGGGCAGGTTGGCGATCAAAGGCTCAGCCAGAAGGGGTGGGATTTGCTAACAGCTACCCGAGCGCCTCCGAAGAAGACCTAACAACTCAAGAGCAACCGGATCGGAATCGCGACCCGCTGAGAAGATCCGGCGAGAAACTCAGCGAGCTGATGCATGGGTTAGGTTGCACGTCGACCTATTTGTCGAGTTCGACGAGTATGGTTACTGGGGTTCCTCAGCCTGCTCCTAGTGCTAGAGCTGAAGGTATCTAATGCAAGAGTTATTGGATCTGATGGATCCGTACGGACGGCCCCTAAATTGAACAGCATTGTAAGTACTATGAGTAATTCTGATATCTGACCGAAATATCAGATCAAGGCTTTATCTGAATTTTACAATCACATTACAAACATAAATTACATATTTATTTAATAATCTTGGCCAATCTGAATTCAGAATTTGAATAAATATTTGCACTATAAGTTACAAGTTTTATGTTAAAACACTTGATTAAATTTTAAATACATTTAAAATTACTTTAACTGTTTACTTACCAACGACAATGCGAATCGATAATTCACAAAAAAAAAACCATTTGTACTCTTGGTATAAGAAAATGTGCCACGAAAATATTCAATGAAAATAAATATATTTAAATACAAATATGTTATGAAAAAAAATATTGCTTATTTGGGTAGGCGAGTTCACGGCCCACTTGATGTTAAGTGGTTACCGGAGCCCATAGACATCTACCACGTAAATGCCGCCACCCACTTTGAGACATGAGTTCTAAGGTCTCACTTTTGACTACGGCTGCCCCGCTCTTCAAACCGAAACGCATTACTGTTTCACGGCAGACACAGGCAGGGTAGTGGTTTGAAATATTAAACTGTGCCCTATTCTTTAGACACTACTACACTTTATTAGTTACAGAGACTACTTACTAGTATTTCTCGGCTTTTAATTTTCAGACAGCAAATTTGTATTGTATTAAGGATTGTTATCTATGGATTTAAAACATTCAATCAGTTTCTTTAGGCGTAACCCAAACAAAAGAAATTTAAGAGAATTCGAATGAAAATTTATGTGAATTCATTAACGGTCTCTTCAAGAACCCGGAAGATTATTATTATTCAAGAATGTTAACAAAATTAATAATCATTTTTGTTATTGTAGTTTTTCTGGTCACATTCTAGAATGCTCTTTTTTTCTCTCTCTCTTTTCTCTTTTTGACTCTCTAAAATGGGCAGGTAAGATTGCAATCCATCCTCGGAACGACCGCGCGTTTGGTTTAGACCCAGTAATTGTGACGAGAATGCATTGGAGAGGAGTTTAGTGGTGGTGACTTCGTCAGTCTACTGCTCGGTCGCTCGGTCCAACTGGGTCTGGTACCACGTCTTGGGTTAGTTATTGCCTCTACCTACTTTGAGACAAAATCACTGGTATTGTGAGTACGTACGGGTATTTATACCACTGTCCTGCGTATTTCTACCCCAAGGCATTCATGTCTTCCGGTTTGAGGGGTGCAAAGGCTTGAAACTTCAACCGGTAACCGTCTGGTCGAATTATTAAGACCACGACGACGATTACGATTATATGATATCTTAAAAAAATTAGCGAGCTGGCTTTAAGGGCAATCATGTTGTGTATGTCCGTGGACTACAACAAATAAAGACATAGTTATTTTTAATAGATAAGTTAAAAAAACTAAATTCATTAGTTTTACCAAATTTCGAACTAAATAAGTCTTGAAATCAAAACATCTTCTGAGAAATTTGCAATTGTTTTNACGACGATTACGATTATATGATATCTTAAAAAAATTAGCGAGCTGGCTTTAAGGGCAATCATGTTGTGTATGTCCGTGGACTACAACAAATAAAGACATAGTTATTTTTAATAGATAAGTTAAAAAAACTAAATTCATTAGTTTTACCAAATTTCGAACTAAATAAGTCTTGAAATCAAAACATCTTCTGAGAAATTTGAAATTGTTTTGATGTACTCATAAATTGATGAAACTTAGCTCATAGTGACAGTTTTGTGGTTCTAAAAACAAATGGCTCTTGAAGCGTGGAAGGACTAAATCTATTAGCGGGGTGGTTTTTGGTGTCTGCTTTAATAATATTTTAGACTGATGCCATAGTGAGGTTGAAACAGTGAAAAAATTGTAAAAATATATATTAATACTTAGGTAAAACCTACGAAGATGCTTATCAATACTGGCCATTTGGAATGTAATATATGGCTGGCAATAAATTCTAAATTAAAATTAAATTTATTTTAAAAATATTGAGTTCTATTTTCAAATTACCCCGACAGACTTCTACTTTTCCTACAGTTTGAACAACTTCATGACAGGGAAAAAATTCAATATCCTAGAGGCAGTACATAATACCTTTGAAGAGTTTGTCGGCTCCCGCTTAAGTGACTTATTGAAAAAGGTATTGAAAAATTACCATTCAAGCACCGGCAGAGATGCATCTATTATACTATGGGTACATAATTATTATGATTGATTGAAATAAAAAAATAGTAATAAAAAAATAACTAACTTTTTTTTTTTTAACAGTCACGCCACGTTAACTGGTCCCGTGATGAGTTCGTAAAGAACTTGTGTTACAGGTACCAGATAACGGAAATAAATATAGGATTTTTATTATACACATACATATATTTAATATACATCCATAACCCTGGAAAAGACATTTATATTTATCATACAAATATCTACCCTTGGCGGGATTCGAACCCGCGACCCCCTTGTATAGTGACCATGTCACTTACCACTACACCAGACGGCCGTTAAACTATACTGTATACTATCTGTATACTAAATGGCAATTTATTAGGTAAGGATCTACTAATATTATTCCAAACTTTGTCGAATGGATAACGGGCCATGCATCTATAGAGAGTGAAGTTATGGTTAAGTTCGATTTTGGTAGGTAAGTAAAAAATTCATAGTAAACCTATAGCTTCACTGAACTTCAGTGTAGTGTTAGAAGTACACTTGTTTAC